CATTAGAAGTAGCCATACAGGAATGCAGGACATTTGAAAATGTAACTAAACAGATGAATCAAATGACATCTAAAGGTCAAGAAGGCGCTACTGCAGTATGTCACCAAACCGTTGATGCCTTTAGTAAAAAAGGGAGAAAAACAAATAATCATCCAAGAAAAGATGAAAATAGAAGACATACAGAAACAAAACATAAATATGAGCCAACAAACCAGAAGAAGTTTGACAAAACTTGTCAACGATGTGGTTACAATCATAAATATAATGATTGTCCAGCATATGGTAAAACTTGTACCAAATGTCATAAATTAGGTCATTTTAGTAAAATGTGCAGGACCAAGAAAGTCGACCAATTTACTGAAGACAATTCTGATGAAGATTTATTTCTTGGTATGGTAAATGAAGAAATTATTGATGAATCAAATGATGAAGATAATTTATACATATCAATGGTGAAAGAAAATAATACCAATAGTAAAGATACCTTAGAATGGAACATAGAAGCCAAAGTTGGTGTTCAAGACAGAAAAGTTAAATTTAAATTAGACAGTGGAGCGCAAGCTGATGTGTTACCCTACCATGTCTATCGACAAATATCTAGAAAAAGATTAAATCCAACCAAAAGAAGACTAGTTACCTATAATGGTCAAAGATTAGATATAGCTGGTGAAGTTATTCTTATGGTTAAAATAAAGAATGACAAGAAATTGGTCAACTTTATAGTTATTCGAGATAAAACGGTTCCAGTTTTAGGGCTGAGATCCTGTGAAGATTTAAATTTAATAAAACGAGTAGAAAGTTTAAATAACAAAGACAATGATATATTTAATAAATATAATGACGTTTTTAATAAAACAATAAAAGGTATAAATGTGCCTGAAGTTAAAATCTATATGAAAGATGATGCTAAACCAGTCCAGTATCCTCCCAGAAGAATAGCTTATGCTATTCGTGAACAAGTCAAGGAAGAGTTGAATAGGATGGAACAGAATGGTATTATTCAGAGAATAAATGAACCAACCGAGTGGATAAATGCAATGGTGGTCGTAGAGAAGCCTAATGGTAAGCTACGTATCTGTTTAGATCCCAGAGATTTAAATCAGTACATCATATCAGACCAATATAAGATGCCAACCATTGATGAGATGACTGCTAGGCTGAATAATTCGAAGATATTCACAAAATTAGACGCTACCGAAAGTTTTTGGCAGCTAAAGCTTGATGAAGAGTCATCAAAATTAACAACATTTTCAACTCCATTTGGTAATTTTTGTTTCAAAAGACTTCCTTATGGTTTAAACATTTCTAGTCAAGTATTTCAACGTGTTATGAGTCAAACATTTCAAAAGCATGAAGGCGTAGAAGCTTATGTAGATGACATAATGATACATGCTGAAAATCAGAAAATTCATGATGAAAGACTTAAAGCTACACTAGACAAATGTCGTGAAATGAACTTAAAACTGAATAAAAATAAATGTGAACTGAATAAAACTGAGGTAAAATATCTTGGTGTAATTATCACTGGAGATGGTCAGAAAATTGATCCGGATAGAATTTCATCCATTGTAAATATGAAAAGCCCATCTTCTAAGGAAGAACTACATAGATTTCTAGGGATGTTGACCTACCTAGCTAATTTCCTACCCAATCTTTCTCAAGAAACTGCAATATTGAGAGACTTAATTAAAGAGAAAAATGTGTTTGTATGGACAGCAAACCATGAACTAAAATTTCAACAGCTAAAGAGAATGTTGACAGAAGCACCAGTTTTAAAATTCTTCGATACAAAAGAAGATATTACTATAACTTGTGACAGCTCACAATATGGTTTAGGTGGTGCACTATTACAAAATAACAGACCAGTCGCGTTTATATCAAGGACATTGACTGATGCTGAGAAAAATTACTCTCAGATTGAAAAAGAACTGTTATCAATTGTATTTACTACAGAACGATTTCATCAATATGTTTATGGTGTGAATAAATTTAAAGTTGTTAATGATCATAAACCATTAAAATTTTTATTTACAAAATCATTGACATCCGCACCTCCGAGAATAGCAAGATTGATGATACGTTTACAAAAGTATAATTTTGAGTACGAATGGATACCAGGAAAAGACTTAAAAGTAGCTGATACATTAAGCAGAGCACCACAACCCCCAAAACCTGAAGATTTAAAGTTTCATCAGGAATTAGATTATTATGTGCATGTGGTACATGCATTATTACCATTTAGTAACACAATGTTAGATAACTTTCAAAAATCGTGTGAAGCTGATAATGAACAATTAGAATTACGTAGAATCATTCAAAATGGATGGCCAGATAATCGTCATGATTTAAATGACACTGTAAAACCGTATTGGAACTTCCGCGATGAACTTTCAAATTTTAAAGGTTTAATTTACAAAAATAATAGATTGTTAATTCCTAAAGAGTGGAAAAGCGACATGCTGAGACGATTACACGAAGGACATTTAGGTTTTGAAAAATGTGTTACTCGAGCAAGATCCTGTATGTTTTGGATCGGCATGTCAAATGACATTGAAAATTACGTAACAAAATGTGAAATATGTCAAACATATAAAAATCAACAAACAAATCAAACACTTCAACCACATGAAAGACCAAATATTCCATGGTTAAAAGTTGGAGCAGACTGTTTTCATTTTAATAATTTAGACTATTTACTGTTAGTTGATTATTATTCAAATTACTTTGAGATAGCTCAGTTGAAAAATTTGTCAGCTGAAGAAACCATATTAAAAATGAAATCCATCTTCGCAAGACATGGAATTCCAGAAACCCTTGTGTCTGACAATGGGACAAATTTTTCAAATGAAAAATTTAGAAAATTTTCAACTGAATGGGGAATAAATCACAAAACATCGAGTCCTCATTATCCAAGAAGTAACGGGTTAGCTGAAAAATATGTTGGAATTGTTAAAAAGTTACTCATCAAAGCTAAAGCTGATAAACAAGATCCTTATTTAGCTATATTAAACTACAGAGACAGCCCAGTTCTTGGATCGAAAACTCCATCACAGTTATTATTTGGAAGACGATTACGAACTAATTTACCAATATCCAAATCATATCTAAGACCTACAAGACAGATAGGTGTTCAAAAGGAAAGAGAAAAGAAGATAGAAGGTCAAAAGAAACAATTTGACAAAACATCAATTGACTTGAAACCACTTCAACCAGGTCAATCAATCAGCATTTGGAATTTTGATAGAAAGAAATGGACTCCTGGTAAAATTCTATATCAACACAACAGTCCAAGATCTTATATGGTACGAAGTGATGATGGTTCAGTAATAAGGAGAAATAGACAACATTTAAAACCTTTCTACACAGAACAATATCTTAATCATGATCCAGTTGACAACACAATTCAAAATGGTGGACAAAATGGAGACAATAACTTTCCAGGAAATTTTGAACTAGAGCACAATCAACCAAATGGACAAAATGAACAACAAGAAGAAATTCAACCTGATATAAATGAACCAAATCTATTGAGAACTGCTAGTGGAAGAGTAAGCAGGAAACCATCATGGATGAGAGACTATGATAACTAAATATATTTTGTTCTGTGAATTTAAAACAATTGGATATTGCATGTTTAGTTTGTTACTTTAATTGAGTGAAGTTTAATTTGTGTTTAAAATTTTATTTTATATAAAAAGGGAGATGTTGACATTAATAGTTTAATACATATAGACAATACAAGTTGACTCCCTAAGTAAATAATTAGTGGTCTGTGTCCAGGTGGCGCTGTAGTATGATAATAGAGTTGTAAACAATGATGGCTGACTAAATAGTTACTGAATTATATTTTAATTAATAAATAACCTGTTTGAACATTAATAATGTCTTTAATAAGACCCCAAACAACTTACACAACCTCATCCCACAATGTCTTAATTCAACATAGAAACAATGTAATCTTGAATTATTGCTCATAAATTTAATGTTTCGGGGTCAGCGTAAGATCGCAACCGGTATGTTTTCTTATATAGCACAATATTGCATGTAATGAGAGGGGCGTGGACTTTAATGGCCAAAGGATCCTGGACAGGTTTTTCTCAACGGGACCATCTTTTTGGCAATTGACAAACGTAAAAAAATATAATATGGAACACAATTATTATCTTAATTAAAGCGACGTTTCGTTAAGGGTTGCCTCAACGTTATCAAGGAGAACAACCACAAACTGTAAATAATATACAGGAATTGTTAGGAAACTTATAAAAATATTCTGGCAATGGCCATATTAAAAAATTGAACTTATTAATTGACATTGATGTTTCAGAACTGGTCATTTTTTTGTATTTGCCATTGATACAAATTACAGTATGTATGTTGTTATGGAAAATGGACTAGCAGGCCTAATCAAAGGAAATTTTGTCGATCTATACTTCCTTCGATATCATATACTCTTTTAAAAAAGTAGGGGATATTGAAATGCAAATACCTATGTTCACTGATGAAGAACTTATCGCCCCAACAGAACCACTGAGCTGCACATGCGACACGCAATAGCGCCATACGCGTGGGAGGGGTTCATTGTCAAATTTAACACTTCAAGGAAGGGTTGATGAAAACTGCCGCGTGCTGGTTTATCTATCCATGTTTACTTTCCTATCGGTTCTTGCATAAGATTTACTGTTTAGCGTATGTTTGCTTTAGTGTGTTACGTTTAATTTTATCGGGAGACGTGTTCGTCGACGTCAACGTCAACCGAAAACACTGCAAGAATTGGCCGTGACACTGCAAGAGAAGTGGGTCAGATTGATTAGAAAACGAACGCTAAACTAGAACATTTACCAAACCGACTGCATATGTATAATTTAGTGAAGTCGGGGGTTGATAAAAGCTTAAAGTTATTTTATTTATTGGTTCATGAAGTGCGTAACTCTTCTTCTGGGAACGTCCATATGGTTGGCTATAGATAAAAATTCACAACTATTATTCAAAGTTCAATATAACCCAGGTCAAATAAACAACTTGTTGGGCACAGTTGTGTTTCTATTATGTTGAAGTCAATTATAATCGTCGTTTTTTCCTGTTTGTTCCTCATAAAGGTAGACGTGATTAATATTTCTTTCATACATTATCATTGTACTTTTTTCTCCATAATTATCTTAATCCCAGAAAGGTATTTCAATGTATATTTTCTTAAAATTAGGTAGGGTAAGGGATAAGTCAATGCAGTATGCTAGTTTTTGTTTGTAGATCTTACGGGAATTTTGGTGGAAACAGTCAGCTAAAATGCCCGTAACGCTCACAATAGCTCCGATAGTTTAAATATCTGTATCAACGATTTTAGTCGAAAACACTAAGTTTACTTAAAGATATTGAGAAGTAGTCATTCTGCTTCCATTTAATGAAATTGAAGATGTTTATTTAGTCTGTATCTATATGAAAGGTGTAAAACCGATTAGTAAATTAATCTTTGAGTATGGCGGCCTTTCAGGACAGAGATTTATTCTCAAATGAGATAGTTCTCTGCGTACAGAATGAATTAGGAACCATGTATTCACAATCAAAGTAGATACATTTTTGTCTGGACTGATACAAAACCTTTACAAAACATGTTCAGATTCGTGCTGTTTTCAAGAGTAGGTTGCATGTTCTCGTTTTTTTAATCCTGGTAGTGCAGCACTAGGGCCTGGCAGTGAAAAGCATCTAGTTCTTAGGATGGAACAAAAGACCGAGGTCCCATGTATACCACTGGCATCACGTTAGAGATCATCATTCTGACAGTTGGATATCGAAATAGAAATAGCGGAAAGTAGGACGTTGAATCCAATTTCATTTTACATTTACTGTATTTGCACACCTTCCTGTAGTTTAGGTGCAATCATTATCTCATCTCCTGTTTGCTCAGAACCATGAATTCACATTACCATATCTGTTTATCACTACTTTAAGATACATGGAAATCACATTAAACTTTTTTTTTTACTTTACCTTCAAGATAAATTCAATAGGGTGTAAATCAGTGAGTTATAAAACTGAAGGTGGTCTGTTGGTTAATATTATTGATGACTGCGATCCTAAAGACCCTACTTCTTGTGGGGAAGGCAAATGCTGTTCAAAACAGGTAAAATATCATTATGCTCTATTTAATAACCAGTAAGAGGAGAGAAAGGAAGTAAATACCCAGGGAGCTACGGTGGCTAAGTGGGTAAGACGTCGGTGAGAGGATATCTGACAATTCAAAAAAGTAATTGAATGTCACTACATAAGAGAACACGAGGAAAATAGAAATAGTCCGTACATTCACTTGTTTTTATTCATTCTATACTTAATAAAAACATGGTAATGCACGGAATTTTTCTATATTTTTTCGTTTTATCTTTTCTAGTGACAGTCAATTTCTGTTGTGAATTGTCAGATATCCTCTCACAGTTTCACACAACAACTTTTCATCTTCGAAGGAATTATAAGTGAGCAGAAATTCGCCCGTGTATCTGTTATCACGCGTCACTTCAGTCAGTTATATAGAAGGATAACTCGTGTTTTCCTTTTGCGTTCGTCACTTCCGTTTATTCATTCTATACTTAATAAAAACATGGTAATGCACGGAATTTTTCTATATTTTTTCGTTTTATCTTTTCTAGTGACAGTCAATTTCTGTTGTGAATTGTCAGATATCCTCTCACAGTTTCACACAACAACTTTTCATCTTCGAAGGAATTATAAGTGAGCAGAAATTCGCCCGTGTATCTGTTATCACGCGTCACTTCAGTCAGTTATATAGAAGGATAACTCGTGTTTTCCTTTTGCGTTCGTCACTTCCGTTTATTGAAACCGACTTTACGCATTTATCGAAGCAATGTATTAAAATTATATGTGGAACGGGTTTAACCAGTTCTATCACATATGTGATAATGACTGACACCAATATTGTCCTTTAAGCTTTTAAAACTTCTGAGAATTCTGAAGTAACTTTTTTTTCACTTGAAACTTTCAAAATCCGTTACAAATAGGTGGATGAAGTGAAAAATGTCAATAAAAATCTTCCGATTACCTCCCTCAGATTTTCAACTTCTTTAATTTTACTCTATTAAAAATTTGTTGGTCAAATCTGTACAGTCGTCTATCAACATTTTTGGGTAATCTCTACAAGTTAAAATTCAACAGAAACGTAAGTCAAACTTTAAAATCTATATCGTCCAACAAATCTTATCGGATTTTCAATATCCTTATATTTTTGGAAACCATTCACTATTGACAACCGAACGGTGGAATTAGAATTTTGATATTTTGAAAAGTGTACAACTTTGAAATCGGGTAAAATTTTGATGCTAAATGATTAATATGGGTTTAGTGCTTCTTCAGTGAAAATAAGTCAGTAAGTAATAGTTTGCCCTCGAATTAATATGAGAGATCTTTTGTCTACATGGGGTCATAATTTAATATTGAATCTAATGGACTCCGGGTGGGGCTATATAAAAGCAAAACGGTTGTTTATTTATCTGCGATATTACAATGGGTGGAAGCGGACGTAAAACCCCTACTAGAAGAAAAAGAAAGTTTTCTTATACCGAAAAAATAGACAGGTGTCGTTAAGCACGTTAGAGCCTTTTAATCGTTTAAAAATGGTTACCATCCCATTCGTAAATCTAATTTTTTTTTTATTTTTCCATTTCACGTAGATCTGAGAAACTGTAAGTAATAGAGTTCTGGATATTGATTTTATTTCATTGAAAGTTCTTAATGGTTAGTACTTATTGCCAAGGAAAACTAATCTTTTTGTTATGTTTTCATAACGCGTAGATTTCAGAAATTGTAAATAATAGAGGTCTGAATATTGATTTTATTCCAATGAAAGTTCTTAATGGTTAGTACTTTAAACTATTTCGAAAGGCGGTGGCTCGCTAACCAGGAGGTTTCGGTTCGCTCCCGGTGTTGGCCGAGTAAGTTCCTCGGGATATTCCGACATTATTTCCGCTTGTCAGTGGTGCAAGACGGAGGGGCTGACAAGGATCCGTGTCTAGTGAGCGGATAGGACTAAAAACGGGGGTCCCGTGTACACATTGGCGTAAAAGAACCCTTGACTGTTCGAATTTGAACTAAGAGCAGGGCGTAGCGCCGCAAGATTCCCCTCAGGGCACACTGCAGGTCGAATTCGAAGTAGCCCAAGCGGATTTATTAACCGAAAATGGTTTTCATTATAAATTAGTAGACATTAAAAAAAACACAACTTTTGTTAAACAAACATTTCGGCGCATTTTCAAGCCAACATTTTATGTTTCAATCTTTAAAGAATACATTAAAGCGATAATTTGCACATTTTCTAAGAAAGTTCAAACATAATTAGTTTTTATACTATCTGTGTTGTGTTCGGTCATTTGGCAACAACAACAACAACAACAACAAAACAAAACAAAAAAAAAACTCATGCGGCTCGTTAAGGGAGCTGTGCCTTTTTCCTTCACATTTAAAAATAATCAATTTTATTACAAAATTAATGTATTAGTGTGTGATTGTGTCGTATAAAAACTCTCATCAAAGTTGTCACTGTAACAAGTCTATATTAATCTTTACATTTAACTGATATATGCTACTCTTTATGTTTGAGCTATGTGTGGACCGTTTGCCCTTGTGAATAACACTAAGCAATTTTAAGATCTACCCGTTGGTGGTTTATTAATCAACTTCGCCAGTATCAAACTCGTTGGAAGTTGACATTAACCCCCATAATAGAGCAATAATAGTGTTTAACAATTTTGTTGTCAAGTCCATATACATTTTGACCGTGTGTTGAAAGTTTACGTCTATCATTTTCTATAAAGAAGTAGTGTGTATGTTGTATGATTAAGTCCATTCGAACAAACAACAAATTGTTCTCTTTTTTTGCTGTGGTGGTGAAATACGCTACACCGTAAATGATACTGTTAGTTTAGACCCGTAGATTCCGTTCTGAAGGAAATTAATTATTTACTAGTGATAGGGTAGAATTGGACGACATATACTCATTGTATCGTTTTTTGAAGCGACTACAACATTCTTTTTTGTTTTATCTCAAGGCATTCGTCGAATATCTGTCGCTTTCTTATACTTTGTACATGTATAATGTATTTGTCCCAATTAATAACCCCAAATCAATACCATACATTATTTTTCATATGATTTTGTTTTTATCCCATTTCCAGACAATGATGTATATTCCTGAGTTTTTCGGGCCCAAACCAACTTACACTATTAGCTGTCAGCCTCTGACGTCTGCAGGACGGGCGTGTTTTACTGACCCCATTTCAACTGAGATATGTCCTTGTGCCAATGGTTTGACTTGTTCTCCAGGTACCGTATATCCTATGGGTACATGTGTGAAATATTAAACATATTTTATATAGCTATGATATTTTCTTTTTCTTTATATTGAACCCTGCATTATAATGTTGAAGGGGGAAATGTTATAGTGGCGATGTCAAGTCGGGCACGTATAAGAGAGCGTTTTATCCTTATTGGTTCATCGTCTGGCAAGACCACGGTCGTCTTTAACTGTATCTAATCACAGGTTAAGTAATTCTATGATGAAAAGGGCTGTTCTTTTTCGACTGTAAGTCGAAGTAATGACGTCAAATTCGCAGATATGGTTATGAAAGTCTCATCTAACGTTCAAAATATAGTTGAAATGCTTAGTTATTTTAGAAATGTTAACATACATTATCTTTAATTAAGTGCAGACATAGACTACGTTATACGATTATAGAGTAAGTTTTATTTGTCCCTTGTGGATAAGCACAGGGAATTAAAATTTAGCCTCCCCACTAATTTTTGATGAAATACACCAAAACATATTACATAGGAAGAAAAAATAAAGTGATTAAAATGTTGCATTTATAGTTAATGAACCTTTTTAACGTACAACATCGAAAATAATGACCAGGGCCCTTATTCACGAAAACTTAAACTAAGTTACAACCGAAATTTTAAGAAATACTGCAACTTCATTAGATATATGCAAATTGATTTTACTGGTCAGCCAATTGAATTGCAGTATTTTTTAAAATTTCGATTGTATCTTAGTTTAAGTTTTCGTGAATAAGGGCCCAGGTGTCGGCTTCAGTACCCCTTACTTTATAATACGTGTCGCGGTCCGAGGCCATTAAGAGAGAGAGAGAGAAATGGGGTTTAACGTCCACTCGACACAAACTAGGCCATTTCGGGACTAACACATGGTTTATTTTTTTTCAATAATTCGCTTGCGCGTAGGGGTCTTTAGCAGTGGGGGGAAACCGGAGGACCCGGAGAAAACCCACGAGGTTGGACAGGCGACCCTACTCCTTGCCACGTACAACCGGGGATTCGAAACCACGCCAGTTGACTCAATGACAGACTTTATGGTACAGCGCGCACGTGCTAACCATTCAGCCCCCCCCCCCAGGCCATTAAAGTTTATGATTTCTAGTAGCCTACGTTATAAAACAGATCCGCGTTCGATCCTCATTTTGGCCGAGTAGGTGGAGCGAGACTTCCCGATATGGTTTCAGCTTGTCAGCGAAGCAGTGGATATAGGGCCTGATAAAGAACATGTCTAGTTCGATGGGACGAAAAATCGAGGCACCATGTACACGTTGATGTGTACGTAAGCCTTGAACATTAAATTTGATAGTTGTAATTCGACAGAAGTGTATGCCAGAGCATCGCTGCCCAAGTTGAGATTTCCCTCATAGCGTATTTCCGTCGTCACCGATTTGTGAAGAAAAGTATTTTATTTCATTTTCCTTCTAAAATCTTTATAGTCATGTGTTTAGAAGTCAGCGCAAGACTTGCCACACAGATAAAATATAGGCACACCTATAGTCTCCCTGAATGTGCACGAAATCATACGTGCCTATAAGGAAATCTTTATTGTTAATTCTAAAAGGAGATGCTAAAAAGCATTACTTAGATAAGTCCCGTAATTAATAAATAAAATAAATGAATGCCAGTCTCAAGATGGCCTTAGTAAAATGTATACGAGGCATCAAATAGCTGTCATTCTAAAACCATGGTAGTATAAGAAAAGGCAGAAAATAAAATCATGACCACAACTACAAAAAGCCGAACAAGCAAAAATGCTGATCACTGACAACAAATCGATGTATCAATGATGATTTGGCCGTTTATTAAAGTCGATAATTGACAGATATTCGGTTGAAAATCTTAACATTACAGTTAATACTAATCGAAATAGTTGCCAGTCCAGGTGAAAAGGGAAACATGCCAATAGTTATGTCCGTTACTTGAAACTAGACAGACACACATCGAGTGTAAAATGTAAGACGTGCGCTGATTGGTTACCTGTAGGGTGATCGATCTGATGCAGACGACAGCTGTCGCGCGCTGATAAAAGGTGAGATGAAATACCTGATCGGTATTGTTATTCTCTCTGTGAAATAATGCCGGGAATACTGATGTATTCAACCGATTTGTCGGTTTTATGAATTTGTGAAACTATTCAATGACAGTGACAAGAATATTTAAGACTCAATTTTATTTGTCACATTGACAAAATAAACTGAAAGGAACCAGAGGGAAGAGCATCATTCTGTAACATGAAAATTTCCCCATTGTCTCGCCTAGATTATCGATTAGAAATTTAAATGTGGATTTTATAGACCTATGTTGTGAAACAAGATAAATTTCCACCGTTGAAACCCCTCAGGTAAGTGATATTCAGTTGATTTTAAATGAAACACAACGAGGAAATGTTTCCCAGAATTAGTGCCGCTTAAAATTTGGATTGTCTATTGAGAGGAAAAATAGGTAAAGAACAAAATTGACACTGTGGGCCATGTTTCAGATTTATCAATATCCTAGTTCTTAATTCAAACTCTCGACAGACTGGTAGACAAATATCTGGGTTGGGTTAGAAAGCTGTTATAAAATAAACGTTGCAATGATGAAGAAAAATAATGTCAACGAAACAATATTTGTTCAGTCCCAAATCGGCGAAAATGAAAGAGCAACAGTATTTAATCCCGCCGCATTAAGAAAGAGAACTCTATAGTCTCTGTATTAGTATGGGAAAGTGTGTTGACAGAAAATTTCAATAATTTGTCCCGTATTTTAAATAATTTTTCGTGAATAATAAAACGGTTTATAAATGAAAATAAGAGAATTCTGCACGAAAAACTCGTTATTTAGTTTAACGGTTATTCGAGTATATATATACGTGCTTGACAGTTGATTACATTGAAAACATCGTTTTCCACCTGACGTATTTCATGAAACCATTTATTTAATTGGTTATTCATTTTTATTTTATACCATTACGTGGAATAATAGTTAATTCATCAACTTATCTTATAAATTCAATTATGTACATGTGGCTTGTAATTTAACAGTCACATTCTATTTGCATAATGACACACATTCAGAAATATTAGATCTAGCCTTGTTTTAGTCTTTTACAAATATATATACAATAGTATTTGAAACATATGAAGGTGTGATCCAAAAGATGCAAAGTTTGTTGGGGTTCTTGAAGCGGTTATATTGCAGGATATGCAGTTTTAGCTCCATAGAATTGATTTTAATCCTTGTAGGTATGTTAAATATATTGCATGTGTTTTGTTGTTTGTATATATTACCTTAACTGGGTTGCTTGCTCAAGTTTTCATCAAGAGTAGAGTAAATTATTAAGATATCTGTGTTAGATAATCAATCAAATACCGGAACACATAAATTATAGATACATGTACATAGGTAATCTTATTAATCATTGAATTAAGCTATTAATCATATTAATGCTCCTAAATTATGTAATAGTGTTTTAAGTCCACAGTTATTGATATACGTGTAGGAGCTCAATATATATTCAACATTGAATGGGAATTTAGAACTGCATTTCTTTGAAGAAGTATGTGTAGGTACCGGTACTCATTTCTTCTCTTATCTAAACTGATGTACATACATGTATGGCCTAGCTGGCCAACCATTTTTTTAGGCTTCCTGTACAATATTTTACAAAATGCACATAACAAATTGTTTCAGAGCAAATATTGCTGAGGTGCACATTTCTTTCAGCAAAATCCTTTTTGTTCTTCAAGGTTTGGAAATTGATCCAAACTACATTGTAGGGAACGGTAATAAGGTCCAAATTAATGGTACATTTACTTGTAAGTTGTAATATTCATTACAATTGATTTCTGTCTTCCTAATTGGACACATTTATGTCTGCATACAAGTGCAGTTGTAAGAAAATTGATAAACAGGATGATTTTATTCAGGCAGTTTTGTGAAATTGACCCAGTAGTTTAAGGAAATATGGTTCTGTTACACACATAAAGGAGCCTGTTGTAACGTGTACAAACAACAAGCAAAGCATCTTTTAACAAAATCACAAGTCCAGTTTACTTATCCTTCCTATAGAGCCAAATAAACAAATAAAACAAAGATGAAGCTGGTTAAATCAATGACAAGAAACATGGTAACGACTGGTATCTGCCACACCCTATATTTTACAAAATCAATAGAGAGAAAATAAAGTAAGGTCAAATCTAGTAACATTTCCTTTTATTGTAGACCTTTGGAATTAAAAAGACATCAGTTTACTGACCTTACTTGAGTTCAAACATACTCATTCATGTACATTGTAGATGACATTTCAATGTAAATTGTAAATGGAATGGAAGATGGTTTTAGTCATTGTGCTGTGCAAGACATTTGTGACTAACCTGTCAGTTTCCAATTATTTTGGTATCCAAATCCAAATAATTATCTCATAAATGCTTGACTTCTTTGAGTAATATTTCATTTTAAATCACTAATTGTTCTGACTTTGAATTTAGATTGCAATCCTCTTGGGCTTGAATAAGTAAATCAATACGAATATCCTGTTTTAGAAATATTTTAATTGATTGTGAATGAGATGAGTTTAATGGTAATTTTTATCCTCTGTTGTAAACCTCTGGTACATGTATATGTAATGGAATATTGATTCATTCATGTGGTATGGTTACACTCCAAGTTGACTTCATCTATATTTTAAGCAATCAGTACCTAGGTACAGTGTATTTACATGTAGGGTAATCAGCTTTATATCATACATGTACAGTATAATGGCGGTCCTACTAATAATCACTGACAAGAACCGACAAGAGTGTTTTTTGTGAATATCTCCCAAGGTATTGAAAAAGGTGACTGACAAGGAAAGGTATGCTAATTCTACACACCATATCCAAAATTTAAACAATTTCATAGAAACTGACAAAATTATAGTTAAGTGAAATTGACAAAAAATGGTTCTTGTCTGTGATTATTTAAAACGGTTTCCTTGAGATTTCAATTTATCCATAGTTTTTTCACAATTATTTATGAAATCTTTTGAATTTCAGATATATGTCTAGAATATGTATAACATATCTTTCCTTTTAAATCATTTTCTGTAAATTTTGGGTGCTACTGACAAAAAAGGGCTTGCAGTATATAAATTCACTTGACAGATTATTTTCTAAGTCTTATTGGCTATATCTGTACTACTGGATAGCAAACAAAATCTATTTCCAAATGCATGCTTTTATAGCAGAGAGTGGTTCATCTGCATGTTTATTTTTATATAATTCAATCTCTGTGTGGGTAAACACTTAAATAAACATCAATGGGAAATCTTTGGTGTGCACAGGCCTTAATGACTGTACGTCTTACGATTGGTTGATAGAAAAAAAGACCTTTACCTTAATGTTAAAAGAATGCAAAAAGCATTGTTAACTGAAAATTGCACATCATAGCATAGGAAACCTTTGACAGTTGTGCAATAACAATTTTTTCGGAAAAATAATATTAAACTCATTCAAAACCCTGTACATGTACCTATTTTTATATAATGATAAACATGAAAAATAGGGAACTGCAGAATTTCAGCTCTTAATAGTGCTTCTGATTATGAGATATATATGTAGAAACAAGGAACTCTTTATGTGATATGTCTGGTGATTTTAACTACATGTATGATACATGTATGTGTATACAGATACAGTAGAATGAGTAGGTCGTAGTGATTCATTAGTATTATTGTTGTATAATAGAATGGTTTCATGCTGACTACTTTCATTACTAATACATTATTGATTTAATCCCATTACTTACCTGTTTTAGGTCAAATAATAGTTAAGTGCTGTATGAATACAAACATATAACACGTTATACTTAAATTTAGTGGGCTTAACTTAAGCTAAAGATAAAAGTACTGGTATTTTTTAGGGATACCTAGAAATACTTGATGCTACATATAGTACAGTTCATGTACATTTTTTGGTCACAGTAGCACACTTGAAACATTCGAAACATTCAGGAAATCGGTGGTCAATGTGGTAATAGATCCTATTATTTCAAAGGTACATGTACAATCCCTTTTCCTCAGAGGCATACATGTATTTACATGTAGATGCAGTCAAAATACACCAAACTGTACATATATGTACTAGATAACAAACCTCATATCTCAACTCTCAGTGTTTCAAGATAAGAGATGGTTCTATATAGTTCCACGTAGCAAAGTCCAATGCAAATCACATTGGGCCTCAGTAAGCAAAATTGACAATACTTTTTATCAAAACAATGATTGATTATTGTTATTTATAATATTTCTGCCGCATCCAACTACAATTAAGCATATGATCCTACCTGAAACGGGTATAAATCATTGTATTCAAAATCGAAGCGTTACACCGTTACTCGGAACGCCATTTTTAAACAGGAGATGTACGGTATGACAATGTATTTCGGATAAAAACAATGCTTCATTAATGTAAATGAGAATATTTGGAGTTAGGCAATAATTGTGCCACTACATTGGCCTCTATAAGTTTAATTTGTCATAATATACTGAACAGCAAAAAAAACCCAAAACATCAGTGCGATTTCAAAATCAGAGATACACTTTAATCAAATCATTCTAGAAAAGGACTTACTAAATGGATCAAAGCAATTTTTTGTGAACAGTATGTTGACACTAATTCATCACAATTCCAAGACATTACGAGAAGGTTTAGAGTCTGTACACAGTCTATACATCAGTATCTGGTGTGTCCACTGCGAGTGTCAATGATGAACGCCATTGGCACCTGGAACCACACTCTCAGAAAAGCCTGGTGCAATCCGTTGGCTGTGTTTAGTATCGGTACGATGCTATTAAGTCTCCTCTAAATTTTACTCCATAGATGTTCAATTGGGTTTAAGTTCGGACTAAGGGTTGGCCAGTGCATAACGTTGACACCGTTCTGCTGTAGAAAGTCCCGAGTAACTCTGGCAGTGTAGGCATGGGTGTTTGTCATGCTGGAAAATGTTGTTTTGCTGACGTGCGAAATGTGGTATGACATGGAGTCTGAGAGATTTATCGATGTAGCGCACTGCTGTGATGCGCCTCCTCTCCCTGGACCAAGATTTTGGAACACCACAGGACCCACTCTCTGGTTCAGGCTGATTCCACCCCAAACCATTATGTTTGGACCTCCCCATGAATCTTGTTCCATGACACATTGGTCAGAATAACGCTGGCCACGTCAACGCCATATTCTGGTCCTGCCATCTGCAGTTGATACACAATACCAACTCTCATCTGTGAACAGAACAGTTGTCCATTGCCTGTGTCGCCAGGGGTGAGGATCGGTCCATGGTAAGGTCTATGGCAATGGATGTTCTCTCTGGTGAGACGTTGGCGCA